GAACAAATGAACAGATGAAAGACTGCTCTGACTTCGAGGTTCTACAGAGGCTCTGAGATTTCAAAGGAGCCTCTGCCTTTCCCCTTCCTTCAGCCCTGGACACCCTAAGCCCTTTGATTTCACTCTTCTCGGTTCCTTTTCCCATTGACCCATGTTTCACATTGCAGGTCTCTCCCTTGCTTTGGACCATTTCCCCTCCTTTCTCCAGCCCCGTAGGCAGAGAAATTTGAGATGGAAGATACATGTCACACATGTACCTAACTTTCCCAACAGGCCTGAGGGTTGAGCCTGAAACAGTGACTTTCTCTTCCTCTCTGCCTGCTTTCCTCTCTCTCCTTAGCTCCCCCGCTCACATTTCCTATCAGGCTTCCACTCTCCTCCTACTTGCTTGACTGGGGACTGTTGTCACCTCATCTTTTCCTTTCTGAGCTCTGAATGAAGCACAAGGTCCCCATCTTTTTTATAGCCCTTCTTAACCCCCTTCTCAGAAGACTCCGTGGGTTTTTAGGATAGACAATGAAAAGAATTAAAGGCACTCTGAGGTGACCTCAGGTTTACTATAAGGCTACTCAGGGAACCCCTCAGTGTATTTTGTGCAGAAGTGCAAAGTCCTCTCAGGCTGGGTGACCAGAGATGCTGCTGGGTCACTGGACTATTGTTATTTTCCTGCTTCCTTTTCAGTCAGCCATTCTCAGGCCCTGGCTTCTGCCTCTTTGGCATTTCCTCTGTGCGCTCCATGTTTAGTTTCTCCTGGAACCAGGCTCTGATCGGCTTGCTTGGCCGTGGTCCAATGCAGAGTTCTCATGCTAGATTTCCTCCAATGCTGCTGGTTTGCCACATGTTTGATTTTTGTGACTGGGTCAATTCCTGGGTATCTTTTGTGGCTAGGCCTGGTAGCTGGGTCAAAAGATACAATGTGTGGTAATTTATGTAGAAAGAATTGCCTCTGACCACTCAATGCTGGGGCCATGGGCAACAGGCACATGGGCTCTATTTTTGGAGGTAATAATCACACCTCTTCATTTTTTTCCATTTGCCCCACCCCCTTTCCCACTCCATGAAGATACCTAGTTGATGAAAGGTCAGACAATTTCACCCTCCCACCCACAACACAATTTCAAGTGTCAAATTTTCATTTTGGAGGAACCCTTAGGGCTCAGTCATCTGATCTGCTGCAGGAGGCTGCAGCACCAGAGTGGTGAGGTCTAGACCCAGGACAATGGCTCATGTCTTAAAGATCAACTATTACATCTGTTCCCCTGTGGGCTCCAGTCCAGGGCATTGCATGCTTCAAGGTAACACAAAGAAGCAGGGGGTGGACCAGGACTCTGAGGTCTGTATTCTCCGGTAGCTGACCTTGGCACTCCTGTGTGAAGACACCCTCTCCTCCTTTCTTCCTGTCCCTGCTGCCTAAGCTAGTGACCAGCACACCTTTCCTTACCCCTTTGATCACACACACTGTGCAGAGGCTACTCCAGGGAACTTAGGAGTGGCAGGGATGCTACCAGTGGCAGCGGCTTACGACTCACTTCTCTCCTCACACGTTACGTGGGGAGTGAAGCCTGAGGTGGATGAGTTGTGCCTCTCTAGTACCAGATCCACTGCTGTGCTGGGAGGTCTTGGTCATGTGCCTGGAAGGTCCAGAGGCACATTTAGGTGGAGTGTTATTCTTGGGGAATGAACTCAGAAGAGTGTATGTTAAGAGTGTGCTATCATAGCATTTCTCTGAGAAACACAATTTCATTCATGGTAATATGAAATTATGCAGTTAGCAGGCCAGACATTACTTTCTAGGGACAAATACGTTTTAGAAAATGACACTGTATGTCGTTTAAATAAAGATCGGTCTTTAAGAAGTGAATCTGAACCTCAAATTTTGAAGAATACGAAGATTTAATTTTAAAACAATGGTTAGCTCTTTAATCCTTCTGGAATTTTATGTGCATGGTATGAGGGACAGAACTTAGTTTTTTCCAGATGGAAAGTTAATTGTCCCCAAACTACTGAAGATCTCATTATTTATACCATTAAAATAAATTTGTGTATAGTAAGAAAAAATTCCCATGCAATCACGGCTGTTTCTGTATTTCTACCAACATTTACCTGCCTCTGTGTCAGTACCCTGTTGCTTTGGCTCCTGTGGCTTCATGGGCCTCTGCCATCCAGTGGGGCAAGGGCCCTGTTGGTGCTTCTTGTTTTTTTCCTTCAACGTTTCTCGGCAACGCTCCATCGTTTAGTCTTCCAGAGCAATTTTGGAATCAGCTTGTCAAGTTCCAAAATCTTCCCACTGGAATTTTGATGAAAATTGCATTACAGTGACATCATTCTAATACTGAATTAAATTGAATAACCTTCTCAGCAGGGACATGTTATCTCTTTTTTACTTAGGTCATTTCTAATGTCCTTAAAGCTCTCTGGCTGCCTTCACATAGATCTGGCATACTTCTCAAAATGTTCTAGGTCTACACTTTTTTTCTGTTATGATGAATGAGATACTTTTTTTTTCTTTTAAACTTTAATTTTTTGAAAAGGTTTTTAGCCAAAGTTCGCATGGTAACAATTTACAGAAATACATTCAAACTTAGGCAGAAAAAGTAAAGGGAGAATTCTCTGGAAGGTGGCCAAGGCCTCCCCTGCAGCCCCAGGGCAGAAAGAGCAGTGGGCCTCACAAGGGGGCTGGAAAAAAGAACTGCTTAGTCTCCTGTTGCTGCTTCTTTCAGCAGACTTGTTTTTCTTTTCCTCTGTAGTTCAACTTTCCTTGCTGCTTTGTCCCACTTTCACTTTTCTGGGAAGCAAGGGGGTGTAGAACGTATCTGGCTACAGGGGTTACCTATATGAATGGAGCAATTCTCAGAAAAACTCTGTGGGCTGGGGAAGCACCCCTGAAATGTCAGGAACTTCAAAAGAATCTTTCTCTTCTTGCCTAAGGGGGTTAGAGTTGGCAGTTACAGTTTGGGAAAACTCTTCCTCTCTAGTTCCAGGTGATTCGACAAACAGGGACTGACAATCATCATGGTTATAGGATTAATAATGCAACCAGAATACTCTTACTTTAATTTTTATAGACTGCTTTGCTGTTCACTTAACTCCTTTTTAGGCTTTTGGCTCACACATATTATGCCATAAACACTAAATTGTGTGGTTTAGGAGCATAAATTGCCATTTCAAATATTTTATCTTTAGAAAACAGGGCCCTTCAAATTTTGCAACTTGGTATAAAGATGATTATGAACCTATTCCTACTCTCAACTAGTTTTGATTCATTTTGAAAATGAATCAGAAAAGGGTCACTTCATTAAAAAACCAAAACAACCCCAAATAAAAACCAAACAAACCAACCCTCCCTGAAAACCAGAAATTCTCTGAATACTTTTTTTTTTTTTTTTAACTT